ATGAAGATGCATTTCTTTCACTATTCAATGCAATGCTTATTAATATTAGCGTTTTGTTAGCATTTTAATAATCACTCATTTGTTTGCATTAATCCTAATGAATGTTACGATTATATGAGTGATTATCTCACAAATCGGTGCCAATGAATCCAATAATGACTATATTTGTGATGAATATATCCATTGTATGCTTATATGCCATCATTTCAATGACACACCCGTTGGATATCTATATAACTTATGCCATACTGTATACCGTACTAATGGTTTCATTGAATGCTTATCTCATTGTTAATCTAAACTCATATTATATTTCACTAATTATTACAATAAAAATAAACTAATGATTCAAATATTCTTAGCATTTGAATTTCAAAAATGATTACACATTTTGAATGCATTTTATTTACCAATTCTGTGCCAAGAATTACAGAATTAGTGATAAATGTGTCAATTCTTGTCAGAATATTCTCGTGTGAAGCCAAATATGCTTTCAGTCGTGATGTTTATGTAACTTTTGAACTAATTTAGTATCAATTGCTTTCAAATATACCACTTTCTCTCATATATAGTCTCATATTCGTTACAATTATTGCTTAATATAAATGATTGATAAGATTATGAGTTTAATTATGAATAATATATTTTAACGTTTTTTAAGTGTTTTTTATTTTGATTGACAAACATTTTATCTACATTTCAATTGCGTTTATCATATTTTGTCTGTAATTTACTTGTTTTTACTGAAATTTATTTATTTATCAAATTAGTCATTAATTGTGTGTCAAATGTTTTCATCAATTTTTGTCAATTTGATGTCAATTTGTAGATTCATGTGAAGGACTATTCTATGAGTTTCCCAAACATTACTATTAATTGAATGATTTATGAAGTGGTGAATAATATCCGAAATATTTACCAATCAGTCAGTCATTTCAGTTATAATGAATGATATGTCAGTAAATGTATGTTTTATCTCAATTTGTCAACTGATAGCTCTTTAAATATATTACCATTTATAGGAAGTGATTATCGCATTATACTTATTACATAATTATTTTCAATATTTATGCAATCATTGATTAAACCCACACGACTCTATTGAAAACTATACCTTATATTGCAGTTTACAATAATAAAATTATTATTAACATTTAAAGCATAAGTTAAATACAATTTAAAAACTAAAATTTCAAATGAATATTTCATTAGTAATTATTATTGATAAGGATATGAAAAGTGCATTCAATGAACATAATAATAATTAGATTGCATAAGAGTGATGTCTAAACATAAATGCTTTGTTTGCAGTGAATTCCAATCAATTTGAGTCTTCGCGACAGTTATATCCTCTGAAGTCGTACAGAGAGGCGCAGATATTTCACTTCGTGGTCCCAAATGAGGTCCTGGAGGCCAACTGGCGCTTCAACGCCACCAACAGTGATGTCTCTTATCTGAGAAATTCACTCAAGTCTTACTCGCAAACCAAACTACTGAGCGGTCGCTCGTGTGAGGCACTGGACCTAACGGTTCACATAAGACATGGAAGTCTGCCCGTCATTAATATAAACAACGCCTCACTTCCGGACAATTGGTTGACAGAAGAGTCGCAACAGTATTCATTTGAAATGAAGAGCGACTCGGCTCTCGTCTCATTCAATATAACCAATCCATTAGCGGGCGATTGGTTTGGTTTGTCGTATTTGAATAAAGTAGACGACAGGATATCCCAGAAGGGACTTGAAGTCGAGTGTCAGCACAAACTCACAGCCAGTCTGTCGCTCACGAAATTCAGTCAATTATTCCCAAACAATGACATAACGGTCTTAACGACAGCTAATTCTTTAGTACAAAACATAACAAATTCGACTTTTTATAAATTTTATTTAAACTCCAACTGTTTTAGTGCCAAATTAAATATCACTCAGTGCGCACAGGTATCGCCAGTTCCTAACTATAGGGCAAGGTCCTGTCCAATCCTTGTATACGTGCGGGGAATGGCTTTGCCATCGCATAAGATCTATGACTTTGCACTGAATTGTAGTCAACAAACAGACAAATGTATAATAGATATGGACTCAATCACTTCCGGCTCGTGGGTTTACCTCGAAATAGAGCCCTTGAGTGGTCTGGAAGTGGTTGAAGTGTATACAGAGCTCATAATTGAACAAAAAGAAGACTGCTTTTCAATTGAGAAAGAATTGTCACAAAAGTCACAATCATTGGCCACAACCTATTCAACCTATTCTAGTCGTTTCACTAGTAATCAATCGGAAACAATGGGCACCACAAACCAATTGAGTCCCAAATATATAAGTCTTACACGATATGATTCCCTAAATAGTCTGGAGTTCAAGTACAGTCACGTGGACGCCACTCCACTCTCACAGAATCAAAGTGTTTCGATATTTATCGACATTCCCAACGATCGCATGTCTATTCTGGAGTTCGGAATCATTCCTCTGTCAGACATCGGCGGAACTCTTTCCATAGATTTCGCGATCTCTCCATTCGTGGACACAACACAATACAACTATTCCGTCAGTTTATGTCTGCAATACAGAAGAACCAGCGATTCTTTTAAGAATTGTTTGCGTGAACTCATCGTAAACACCACTTCCACTGATTTCTTTAACAAGAAGGGCATCGAAACGGTTTTGATTCCATTCCCAAGACCTGGCAATTGGTTTATTACTCTTAAAGTCAATTGTTATTACTCTGGAGATGACGACATTATAATAATGTGTCCGCCAGAGAACAAGACATCTGTCTTATTGGACATAACATCGTCTCCTTGTCTGCACTCCAAGTGTGGCAGTCATGGGAAGTGCTATCAGTATTTCAGTGGTGGTGTACTATTCAGCTCTTGCGTCTGCAGAGGAGGTTTGAAATGATTTGAAATTAAATTAAATTAAATTGATTTAATTGTATGACTACTGCATATGAATGTTAGGATGGAAGGGCTGGTTCTGCAACGATGGGTCACAAGCTATACCTGAAGATCAACTTTTGCTCAACTTTTTATTACTTACTTTAAGTAATATAATGTTCATTCCGGCAGTCGTTTTGTCTACTTATAGGAAACATTTCACTGAAGCGTTGGTCTACTTTACAACTATGACCTCTTCCACAGTTAGTCCACACTTTAGAAACAATTATTCATTTTTCTGTTAATTAATATTTTTCTTATATAGTTATATCACGCGTGCGATTCTGATTACCCGCAATCGTATTGCCTGATTAGTGTCAATGTTTTACAGTTCGGGGACTTCTATTCAGCCATATTGGCGTTCTGGGTCACTTTAGTCACTTTAGCCAATATGCCTGATCTGTGTCGCGCTTTCTTCCATGTGTTCGGTGCTCTTCTCATAGCATTTGCCACTGAATTGGATCGGACCAGTCTCTGGGCATTCGCATTGCCCGCCGGATTAGGCGCCGCTATTCTTATCATTTCATGGGTTTGTCATCACATCCTTTAACTTATATTTTATCGGTTAATACGTTCACATAAAATATTAACAATAATTGTCTCGACAGATATGCCGGTGCTGTCGAAAGTCATGTTATCCAACGAGTCGTCTGTGGATATTCAGTATTTTGCCGGGAATTGCATTGACTGCTGGAGGGCTTGTGGTCTATGCCTTCTTCGAGACGCAAGAGAATTACGCCATAACTCATAGGTTTTGTCAAACAATCATTGGCTCTGTTTCTAGTTTTCACTAATACTGTCTTTTTATTGCTGGGAACAGCTGTTGGCACGCAATCATGGCATTAGCGCTGCTATTTCTGGTGCCATCGATGAAGGGCGACCCTCAAGACGAAGAGGTCGGTGGCAAAGGTAGTGACACTGAGACCTATTATGAGCTAATCGGCGAAGAGGGCTCTCATTTAGCGCGAGTGACTCCCCGCTAAGCATATCTTGAATGTTCTGTCCACTCGATTATAGTATTGTTTATTTAAAAACTCAATAATTAAGACTCAATTTATAATAATTTATGATTTCAAGTAACGACAATTGATATATAAATTTATATTTCATATGATTTCATACGGCATTTGCTATTATAGTCATAACTTAATTACTTATAACTTATTTATAATTTATTGATATATTCTCTGATCTCTTGGCTGTAGATATGAAATACGAATACAAATAAAAGCAAATGATTTGTTTTGATGTGATAATTGATTTCTGGTTCTCTATCTATTCCATGTGTAGTGTCGATGCCTAACGCAAAGTTAGCTCACGTGGAGTGGAGGCCATCGCACACCAGTTTTAAGTTCTTGAACGACGACATCGATATGTTGTGATGTTCGCACCCATACTATGTCTAGACCTATCATACTGTACTGTTGATCCACTATTTATACCACTTCTCTCATGTGCTAATGTTTTACCGCCAAATGATCACTAATACATACCGTAATACCATTGAAATTACGACCAGAGCTCAACCGCATATGAATCGCTGTATTTCTGGCCATAATTTTTACCCTCAATTCTCTGAACCAAAGAATTTGTGAACAAATTATATGAACACTCGTTATAACTGTTTGAAATTATAGACACATTTGTGAGACTTGTTTTGTTTATAAAATTATATATTAATAGTTAATCTCAATTAAGACGTTTAATTTGGAAATATATTTAAAATACATAAAAACAGTCAGTCATCAAGTCTTGTGATTGCAATAAATCTCACATTTCTATGTATTTACTGTATAGAAAATTCGTAGTTTTCAAGTATTTAGTGAACAATAACTGATGACTGATTAGTGTTTTGTTACAAAAATTACAATCATTTCATTGTTTTAAGAGTTATTTATATTGAAATTTATTGTTAATTCAGTTAATCATGATTTAATGAACAAATGTTTGACCAAATTATCAATTTATTGATCACTTCTTCCCTGTGCTATCCTCTGAAGGAAAGCCTGTCCTTTGTTTTTACGGAACTTTTCGAAGGGATCGTTATCTGGTGTCTTCACACCCACTCCTCTATACTTTTCATCCATTTCTCTCAACTCTCCGCCTTTGATTGGATCTGAAAAATAGTTTCATTATTGCAATCATTTACACCGCTTTACGACTGGAAGTACCTTTGATTCCCTGTTCAGAGGCCCCCAACCCTGCCGTTCCACTCCATCCCATCTTTTTGAGCATCTGATGCCCTTTATTAGACTCATCGAGTCGAGTGGTCTCTGGTTTGGTGTATGTCCTGAAAAATACACATTAGATCCCATAATACACACGTCTTTTATGACTTACGCAAAGCTCGCGACCGGAGACGCGCTTCTACTCCTGGATCTATGCGAAGAACGAATAGGACTACGACTTCGACTACGGCTTCGACTATAACTCCGGCTACGACTCCGAGATCTAGAGTGCGATCGCGAATGTCTTCTTCTCGAACTCGAGGACTCGGGACTTCTTCGGCTCTTTGTTTTTCTCGGACTTTGAATACAAATATCAAATCATTATTCCATTCATCAAATTATGTCAAACAATCAGTCATTACCTCCTGTCCTCTCTATACTCTCTGTACCGCCTTTTAGGTGAAGGGCTTCTATGTCTTGAGTGAGAGGTTGTTGTTCTCGACTCCGATTCACTTTTTGAATTATCATTATTATTATTATTATTATTAGAGTTATTACTGTTTTTGGCATTAGTTTTGTTGTCTTCATATGAACCTAACTCTTGGTCTGAGTTCTTAAAGCCTGACGACTCGTCTTTAAGTTTCATTGTCTGAGACTTTGCTTTGAAGAACTCATATAAGCCTAACTGTTCCCATCCGTCACTATTTCGTGGCCGTTCATGAGTGGGCGGCGCGTAAAACATTTCAACGGCTTGTAAAAGGCGTTCATTAGGCGGCGCGGGAGGGGGTAGTCGTATGTCTTTGGGAACAATAGCTTTATAATCAAAGTCCTCGAGTTTAACTAACGGTGCCATAAGTCCTGCCGGAAGTTCGAAGTACGGCACGTCAGGAATCACCTCTTTGTGAGGAATGGGCGCTGAATTATGTACAGCATTGAAGAACTGATGGTTAGGTAGGGGTGTGGGAGGGAAGGGTCCGCCCGGCATGGGGTTAGGAAAGGCTTGATTCGTTGACAGCATTTGTTGTGGCATTTGAGGAACGGGTCCTAATCTGACGGCCATTTGCGACGATTGATGCAATTGTGGTAACAGTAGGCGCTGTGGTGACTGAGCGTTCGGTGGTTGAGCGCCGGGAGGTGTTTGATGGACGAGAGGTAAGAACATGGGCACTGATGTGGGCGGTGGTGGCGTCGGATCAAACTGTGGCATCAGATTAGGTCGAGACGGCATTTGTTGATCAAACTGTCCCACTAATGGAGGTCGAGACCCAAGTGCTTGTGGCGGCGGCTGATCGAACTGTCCCATCATTGGGGGTCGAGATCCAAGTGGTGGTTGATTTGGAGGCATAAGTACTGTTCAAAGACAACATTGTATTTCCAAGTCTATCATCAAATTTATGAGATCTCACATCGATGTCCAGGCATTGAAGGGTTGACATTCATTGGCAGTGACGGCACCGGCATTTGTGGGACATTTGCCACCAATTGTTGTTGTTTTTGCTGCTGATGACAGAGACATGAAATTTTAACAAATTGTCTCAAAGACATGAGATATAAAACAAGAGTACTTGTAATCGCTGTATGTTTGACTGGATGTGCGCCACGAACTCCGAGTGTTGTTTCTGGAGTTGACTCAGTTTTGCTAACTGTCCGTTCGTTACCGAACTGATCTGACCTGAAAATTCATTCAAAAGAGCACTCTTTGGGCGCAAACGAAGCCATTGTTGAGACGAATCGGGAAAAGAAATAAGAAATGAAATCTAAATTAAGACTTTGATAATTGAGCTAAAAATGCAATTTATAATACTTTAACCTAAATATCAAATCGGGATTTCTCTGCAATTCAACTCAATTTAACTCACAGTAAAACAATTGAAATAATTTCCAAACACTACACAACATTCAAACCTCCGATAAATTGGGAGTAAATAAGAGGATGTCTTACCTTATAGTTAGCCAAAGCCATGGATGGGTTTTGTAACTGCTATTTATGTGAAAACAACAAAAACAGTTTATATCTGTCTTTTTCAATGACTGCTTTTAAATTTAATTGTGTTTAGCATTTGAGCTAAAATTACAAAAGCCTTACATCCAGTGCCGAGCTCTCAAAGTACTGATTCATTTGCCATAACTTCAGAAGCTGTTTAAAATAGTCCATTCAATTAACTGAATCATACAAATGTGCTTGATTATCAATTCAGTGGTTCTCAAACATTGTGCCAATAAATATGTTTGGCAAATCATTAGAAATAAATATCTCATCGAATGAGATCTACTATCGAGAACCTCTGATCAGATAATGAGACCTACTTTAGTGAGCTTTTGTTGCTTCTCGTCGTCATCGGCGTCAGTGAATGTGTGGCAGAAAATGGGAACAATTACTTTCTCGAGCGAACGCTTAAGACTCTCGTCTCCTTTTCTCTGACTAATTATATTTCAATTTCACACAGAATTGCGTTAAATTTGCCATTCATTTAGGTTTCCATCAATTTATTCAATATTCAAGTCATAAATATGTGAGACATACCAGTGATTGAATAAGTCGTTTATCAGATAAAGTAAGTGAAGTCTCGACTCAAATGACGGCCCGATTGTGGTTATTCTGCAATCAATAACTCATTAGACTATTAATAACATTATTATTAAGACTATTATTAGACTATTAATAGACTATTAATTCATTGAACACATTGAAGGCATACCTTTTGAGCAGATATCTGGCCATCACATCGTAATGTACGGCTGTATTACAGTTATTGAATATCCAGACCTTTCCCTTCTGTAAGACATGGAAGACATCACATGAATAAGGATACCGTAAAGTCAACCCTCACCGCAATGGCCTCTTTGGTGCAGTTCTCAGCGATCGGAAGCAAAACACTCGAGAAGTCATTCAAATCGACGTTAAACTCATCGGCCATTCGTCTCAACTGTTCCTCTTGTGATTGTCTGACCACGTCTTCGATGATTATCTGTTTTTGTTGCATTAAGACCTGGTGTTGAGCCGTCAGATTGGCCTCTGATTGGCGCATCTGCTCCTTCAGCTCATTGATCTGTTGAGTCAATTGATCCAAAGAGGTGTTGAGACCATTGTTAAATTTGCCATTCATTTAGGTTTCCATCAATTTATTCAATATTCAAGTCATAAATATGTGAGACATACCAGTGATTGAATAAGTCGTTTATCAGATAAAGTAAGTGAAGTCTCGACTCAAATGAGGGCCCGATTGTGGTTATTCTGCAATCAATAACTCATTAGACTATTAATAACACTATTATTAAGACTATTATTAGACTATGAATCCATTGAACACATTGAAGGCATACCTTTTGAGCAGATATCTGGCCATCACATCGTAATGTACGGCTGTATTACAGTTATTGAATATCCAGACCTTTCCCTTCTGTAAGACACGGAAGACATGACATCAATAAGGATACCGTAGTCACTCGAACACGAGTCAACCCTCACCGCAATGGCCTCTTTGGTGCAGTTCTCAGCGATCGGAAGCAAAACACTCTCGAAGTCATTCAAATCGACGTTAAACTCATCGGCTATTCGTCTCAACTGTTCCTCTTGTGATTGTCTGACCACGTCTTCAATGATTATCTGTTTTTGTTGCATTAAGACCTGGTGTTGAGCCGTCAGATTGGCCTCTGATTGGCGCATCTGCTCCTTCAGCTCATTGATCTGTTGAGTCAATTGATCCAAAGAGGTGTTGAGACCAT